GAACTCTTTGGGAAGAATTCTGCCAGCAAAAGATCTAGCTTTGTGCTGTGCTGATTCCTTTAAGTAGGAATGAACTGAATTATGCTGATGTAAGGTCCGCTTCGTTTTCTGAAGTGCCCAACAGAACAAGCAACATATCCTCTGTATCTGCCCAGGAAGGATCACTTGAATAAGCGTACTCAGACACAGAGAAAAGCTAAAAAAAAAAAAAAAGTAACTGACAGCAGCACAAGGGAAAGCAGGTAATGCCCTGTTGTACCTACACCAGGTGCAAATTGTGCAAGCAATGGCTATACTGACACACCAGAGGGAGCAAACCAGACCCACAGAGGGATGGCACGTGTTTGCATGCAGGCATGGTGACTGGTTTTGTCTGTGCTGTGTCTGTGTTTCAGGGCTGACTGCTGGGACCTGCTCTGCAACTGGAAGCAATCCTGGCAGGGCCTGCAATATGCTGTCTCTCAGGATGTGATCCAGTGCCACAGGACCAGGCCCTTTGTGCAGCCTCTGTGTGATGTATAAAAGCACCAGCCCTGGTTTGGCCACAGCCCATCTTGCTGGCACTTCTTGAAGGGTCCAAGATGGGCACCACAAAGATGGGGTGATGAGCTGCGGGACCGGTGAGTCCACCTGTGTCACCTCTTCCCTCGCACCACCAATTTTACTCGAGTGAGCAGAGAACCACAATCAGTAAAGACATTTTAGAATTTGACACAGAATGTGACTTCTAACAAAAAGCTTCTTCAGCTAGCAAGGGAGATGTCCTAAGAGGGGCCTGGGTGCTGTGAGGAGCAGCCCAGAGCCATGGGAGGAAGGGGCAGCTACTCACAGTCCAGGATGACCTGAGCCGCTCGGTACAGCTGCAGCCCTTGCAGCAGGTCCAGGAGCTGCTGCACTGTTGCCAGCCTCACTCCCCACCACCACATGAGCTCCCTCGTGATGCTGATCCCTGTCTTCTCCATGCACTTGATTTTCCGTAGCTCTGTTTGATCAGTGATCACATAGGAGGCTGATGTGAGAGAATGGATATTTGTTTAAATATTAGAAAAAACAGGCAAGGGCAAGCAGGTCAGGCTAAGGTGTGAGACACAGTTTATTTTTGCATTTGCATATCTTTAAAAGGAAAGATAACAATAAATTACCTACGTGGACATGAAGAAATTTCTGTTCCTAAAGTAAGATATCTCTTTTCTTCCTTCAACTATTCTGGAAAAATTTTGTTTTATCAGACACACTTGAAAAGAAGACCCACTCATACTTTTAAGCATATTTTCCCTGTAATCTTTCTCCTTAATACTTTGTACCAAAGTAAGGTTAGATTAAATTCCTGGGGTGATTCTCCCAAAACAGGTGGCTGCACTCCCACTTGCATTCCTAAATCCCTGAGTTGTGGTGAGCCAAACAATAACTGAATCACCTGGGTGTTAGTTACACTCCGATAAAGCTGCCAGGGAAATGCAGCTATTTTTAGATCCTGTGTTAAAGCTGACTCTACACAACGTGTCCCAATTCCTGACCACACCTGTCATCCTGCTGTGCTCTTCCCAGCTCACTTACCTGCACAAAACCCACCTCCCTCACATGTCCCCAGCTCCACCCCACACACCTAGACACAGCCCCAGAGCTGGAGTCTCACAGGGGCTGTGCCTAAAGGGACAAGGCTAGGGCCTGGGGTCTTCGTGTGGAGGCAGATTCCTGAGTTCTCACCCCGGCTGGCTTTGGAAGGACATCAGAAATACAGCTTTATGCATCTGAAGGTAGTGGAGATGAATCCCACCCTACATTAGAAGTTTAACTGGGGTAAGAGCTTATTCATCACACAGTTAGGGAAGTCATGTCAAAGAAAGGCAGCTACTAAGAAAAGATTCAGCTTAGAATTGTTTGTACAGGGACACAGAAAAAAAGAGTAAATAACTCAGGAAGTATATTTTCTGTACTTACTGACTGTACACAGCCAGGGCCAAGAAAAACAGGGCATAAAGTATGAGGGAATATACATGAAGAGAAGGAGGAAATTAAAAAATAGAACATCTGAGCAGATGTGAGGGACGTTGTGGAAACAGGCAGTGAGAAGTGGCAGGAGATACAGTGTGACTGGAGAGGGAAGTGCGAAAGATTGCGGAGAGTGCGGGGACGGAATCCGCCTGCCCAGGAAAAGCCAAGGAAGCACAGAGAGAAGTCCGGCATTCCACCTGTGTTTGAAAAGCAAACCCAGCGTGCCGGGAATTCCCTCTTTACAGGATGTGCCCCGCCGAGCGCTGGGAAGCGAGGGGGCCGGCGCGAACCGCGCGTCCTTCCAGCACGTCCGAAGGCGCCGCTGTCCCTGCGCCACCGGCTCGGGGAGCTACAGCCCAGCTGCGCCGAGCCCCTCACCGAATCGCATCCAGTCGTAGTCGCTCAGGCAGTCCATCTTCTGGCAGAAGTCCTCCAGCACCCAGGCGGGCATGCTGTGGATGTAGAGCGGCGGGGCCGAGCCCGCCCTGAGGGCGAGGGGCGGCTGCTGCAGCGCCATGGCCGCGCGGCCCCGGTCCCGTCAGCGCCCACGGAGCGCCGGGCGGGCCCCGCGCTCGGCCGCTCCTCCGTGCCCCCGGAGCCTCCTGCTCCCGGGCGCTGCCCTCACAGCCCGGCGCCGCGGCGAAGAGCCCGCGACACCGCCAGCGACCGCGGCAGGCTCCGAGCGCTGCTTCCTGCTCCGGCTGACGTCAGGTGCAAATCGGATTTTCCTTCCCGTGACTGGTTATTGCTCCAGCCCGCTTGCCAAATTGCCAGTTCCACGTGCCGGAAGCCAGAGACGCTGTCCCGGCTGTTGCGCACAGCTGGCGGGCCGGCGGTGCGGACCGAGCGGGCAGTGCGCGGGCCCGGCGGAGCCCGGCGGAGCCCGGCGGAGCCCGGCGGAGCCCGGCGGAGCCCGGCGGAGCCCGGCGGAGCCCGGCGGCCTTGCACAGCGGCTGTAAACACGGACCCCCAACAGCTGGGGCCGTCCCGCTGGCCAGCGGGACACGTCTCGCCATGCCTGGGAAAGGAACGGGCACCGCCAGAGATGCTGGGAAGCCGGCAGGCGATGCCGCGCAGGGATCCCGCGGCCGGGCTCGCCATCACGGCAGCGCACAGACCACGCAGTACCGTATGTGCTACGGTAGGATATGCAGGGAGTGAGAACTAAAGAACACCAGAAGTGCTCACAGGGACAGGTCTTCTTTGTCAAGGGTTAGGTTTAAAATATGTTCTTAACGTCAACCATTTTTTTTCCTTTTTTTTTTTTACCTGATTTTAATAAAAACGTATAATTAATTAATTTGCCAGTGTAATAAAACGTATAATTAATTAATTCGCCAGTGTAAATATTACTAGTACTTCTGGCAAAAAGGAGAGCCTTCCTACCATATTACTGCTACTAAAGACTGCCAGCAGATACGTAAGTGTAACCATCCGTCCTTCTGGTCTTGTTCATATTTAGCCCTAGGTCTAAATTTGTATGGAAAATTTGAATGGAAACAAGTGCTGTAAGTTTTGACAGCTTTTAATTCACTGTTTCTTTGTATTCTGCATATATATTACAGTACAGCTAACTTCTGTTTTCAGTATCAAACTTTCAGTTTTGCAGTTTTCTTCACTCCTGGCCTCAGAAATCATGAACTTCTTAGCTCTGCTGTGACAAGGAAAAACTGAAAAATGCAATATCGTTGTAGTTATAAGATCAAAGAACAGGAAAAAATAAAGAAAACTACCCAAAGTGTATTTAAAACATGCCAACTCAAAGACTACCTTGAGATGAGCTGTTTTACCAGTAGTACCATAGTTGCATTTTAGGGGTTTCCCCCTCCCTTTCCCCTGCTTACTGTCCCTCTGACACACACTGAAATGCTTCCATGATTGGAACATCTCTGAAGGTGATGTAAGATGAGACTGAAGTTGTATTGCAAAGAACTACACAAAAGTAGGAAGAAAATACTTCTTCCCCTTAGGTACTGGAAAAACTTGTGAAACCATTTGAACTATTTGCCTCGGCTGGAAGCAAGGGGAAAGACCACATCCAACCGCGTGTATGGCTTCAGTTCTGCTCCAAAAGTCACAGGTAATGCAGGGTCTTACTGGGGAACTGAAATGGACTGAATAGAGACTGCAACAATCCTGTATATTCCCGCTCTTAGGCCTTCCCTTTCCAACTGCTGTGCGCTCTCCCCGAGCCCTGGCTGCTGCAGTGTCAGCAGCATTTATTTCCCCGGGGTTCCTCCGTCCAGCCCTGCCCAGCAGGGTCGTGCACAGCCGCTGCCCGGGCTGGCCCTGCCGGCTCTCGCTGCTGCCCCGGCTGACGCTACCGGTGCTGAGGGCTTTCACTCGTAACTAACCCATCTGAGCAACTGCCAGCAGACTGCATTTCCCAATGCTCGTGTGTTAAAGCCAGCTGGGGTTTCTCAACCCTTTATTCTGATCCAAAGGGCACTCCAGAACAGTACACTCTAATAAGAAACACAAGGAATCACAGACCCCATCCAACTCAGAAATACCCAGAACATGTCTGCCACGTACAGACTGTTAAACCCAACACCTAATACAACTAGGTACAGGAAAAGCTGCAGCCAAGCAGGTCAGCTTTCTGCCGGGGTCTGGCACGCTAATTGCAGTGCACAGCCCCATAGGCAGCAGGAGGGAACCTCCTCTCAGGTATGTCAGGAGCAGAGAACAGCATTCTCCGGCCCTCAGGCGCCCTGGGGCACTGAGCCAAGTCTGCTCCAGGGGCCTGCATGGGCTCACTTTCCCCTCAGAGATCTGTGAGAGGCGGCAGAGCAGAACTTGGCAGCCCCGTTCCTGCCCAGATGCTGCCTGAGCTGTGCTGATAGTTCACAAGAGCCACAACACAGCCCAGCAGCAACGGGCTGGGCAGGCTGTGCAGTCCAGAGTGTCTGTTTGCTGCTCAACCACAACTGTCAGGGTATCACAAGAATACAAACACAGAGGCACCGGCGCCTTACCTGACAGAATTACTCAGAAAGCAAGCCTGCATTTCCATTTTTATGGCAAAGATAAATTTCTTCAAATACATAAGATGAATAAGTTTACAAATAAGGAGACATTCCATACTTACAAAATACATTGAGACTCTAAGAATGTATAACTGGAGGGAAACATATTCACAGAAATAACCTGCTGTAATCAATCTCCAACCAATCTGCTTCTAACCCGAGCTGCACCACATTTTGCTTGATGGACAATTAAATCATGTAACACTAAACTATGCTGCTTTGAACTCTCTGTGTTCACACCAGAGCACATTCCACTGAGAAGTGGGGAACAGAATACAGGCAAAGAAATATTATCTCTCCATCTCCAGCCTGCCAGTAAGCATGGCCCTGTTTGTGAGCTGGCTGTGCGAGCCAATACAGCTCCCACTGGTCCTGAGAAGACACAGGCAGCTCAAGAGGCCCACGCTCCCTGAAAAGGCCTCCTACTACAACTTGGACTACAGCACTGCGAGGGGAAAAGACAGAACTTAAAGCATCTACCTCCTGTGAACCCTGTACAGGCTGCTGGGGAAGCAGCTGTGGGGGACAAAGGTGTTCCAAAATGAGGGTCTGGTCTGTGTGGCTGAGATCAGCTAGGCAAGAATCCTATGACAAAGGCAAATAAGGCATTTGAGGTATGATGACAGTGAAAACATGTCAGACCTAGAGCAGATAGGACATGGCTTTGTACATGGACAGGTAAGAGAAAGAATAACCTGCAAGCATTTACACATCATCCTTCCACCAATGTAATAATGTTTGTCAGACCCTCAGGCACTGCTGGAAACCCTCATGTACAAACCAAACCCCTCATGCTCTGTGACCCACAGGCACATTGAGGCAACGTGTGAAAGGGAAATTCCATCAAAACAAATGACTCAAGCAAAAGTGATGACACAACCATTAGTCTGGGCTAAATTAATCCTTGGTATAATTTGCTTTCTAATGCAATGAAAGTTACTTTGTATGAATATTTTCCATTTAGCTGCACTGATCTTACCCTACAGTTTGCAAAACCTACAAAGAAGAAATGAAGTGAACCATCAGAACCCAGCATGCTTCCCAGTGCTGTTGTGTCACCAAAGTTACTTAGTTTATGTTTCAAAACGTTAAACAGAGGCATCAGTTCTTGGTGTGTTTCCTGGCGACTCTTGCTCAGACTCAGTGGTTTGTAATGAGGAGTCTGAGGTGAGTAATCCTGTTAGTCCACAATTTAGTTCCTCAGTGCTTCATTCTTCTCCAGAGAAAGCCGGCGAAGATCCTTCCAAATGTCGGGATGATCCTCCAGCTCTTCGTATAACGACTGGACAATGTCCAGTTTCCTGTAGTCCATTGGGCTGACCAGACTGCGCACCACCTGCAGACACCTCTCCTTCAGGGTGAACACTGCGGCCAAACACAAGCACAACACAGCCTTGTCACGAGGGCTCGCAGCGGCTGCTCCAGTGCCAGCAGTGCTGCTCTGAGCCTGTGAGCACAGAGCACAGCCTGCAGCAGTGACCATGACAGGCTGGGCTCTCCAGAGAGGAGACAGATGTGGTTCTGCCATGAGGCACCTACGAAAACCCCTCAGAGACCCCCACCACTAGCTCCATCCAATACAACAGCTCTACTTACAACCCCTCACCATCTCTTCCAGTGTCTGAGCAGGTTTAGTTTGATGAGGATCTGATTTCTCACTAATCCTAACAGGTCCAGAGAGAACAAGTTCAGAATTCCCTAGGGCACATGCGGTCCTGTCCCTTACCTGGCAGTGTGATGTCAGCTTTGGTCACATTGGGGGCTGCCACGAACAGCTCCTGCTGGTTGACGAGCAGCCCGTCATTGGTCCCTGCATCCCGGAACAGCCAGAGGTGCCCTGGCAGGGAACAAGGTGGGAACGCACCAATTACAGAACTTTTTAACGAGTGCCTCTGAGGGGCATCTACCCACAAGGGACCAAGATCTCCAGCTTAGCTCTGTGTGCACAGGCCACTACCACGGCTCCAGTCACTGGTATGAACGGGGAGGGGAAAGGAAAAAGGAGAAAAGGAAAGGAAAAAATAAAAGGAAAAGGGGAAAAGGAAAGAAGAAGAGCAAAGGAAATGGAGAGCGAAAAAGGGAAAGGAAGGGAAAGAGTGGAAGAAGGAAAAAGGGAAGAGAAAGGAAAAAGGAGGAGGGGGGAAGGCAAAAGGGCAAATTCCACCGCCACCAGCTCAGCCACCCGCCACGCCCAAGCCCGTCCCGTACCCACCCCGGTAGCTGTGCATGACGCGCCCGCTGCGCGGCTGCAGGACCGGGTAGCAGCGCGGCCGGCCCTCGAAGTCCAGCCAGACGGGCAGCACGCAGCGGGGGCTGTGGTTGTTGAACATGACCTCGGAGAGCTCCCGCGTGTTGACGGAGCGCAGCACGGGCCCGGCCCCACCGGAGCGCTCCGACACCGGCGGCGCCATCGCGGACGCGCCCCGCCCGGCCACGAGCAGGCGCCGCCCCCGGCGCGTGCGCTGCGGGGCCGGGGCGGGGCCCGCCGGGAGGGG